ATGACTAGGGATGATAGAAGGAGAGTTGATGCCTTTGAGATGTGGTGCTGGAGAAGAGTATTGAGTATACCATGGACTGCTAGGAGGACAAACAAGTTTGTGCTGGAGAACGTGAAGCCTTGGAGGCAAGAATTCTGAAGCTTTATCTGACATACTTTGGACATGTTGCAAGGCAGGATCAGACCTTGGAGAGGGATGTCATGCTTGGGAGGGTAGAGGGACAGTGAAGGAGAGGAAGACCCTTGGTGAGATGGATTGATTCAGTCACTAGGGAAATGGGAGTAGGTGTGTCAGAGACAATGAGATTGACAAAGGATAGGGAAGGGTTTAGGGCCGTTGTACATAAGGTTGCTATGAGTCACAGGTGGCCTGATGGCACATAACAACAACAACAACACACTTGGATCAGGAATCAGTCATCAGAAGAGAGTAAGGAGACACTGCATAGTTTAAAATCGGGAAGGATGTACACTAGGGATATATTCTGTCTCCATACATTTTCTATATGCAGAGCAGTTCATTGGGTAATTTGGGCTGTATGAGAAGGAATGTAGCATCAGTATTTGTGGAAGAGTTATCAAGAATCTGAACTATGCAGATAACATAACCCTGTTTGCTGAAACTGAGGAGAACCTGAAGCACTTGCTGCAGAAGGTCAAGGACTGCAGCCTTCAAAATGGATTGAAGCTCGACATTAAGAAAACAAAGATTGTGGACAAAGTAGCGATGAACATGGGTGTGCTTGGATGTGGAAACAACCTAAGTGCCCATCAACAAACAAATGTATGGAGAAGCTGTGGTATATTCACATAATGGAATCCTACGCTGCATTGAAAAGCAAGGAACTTAAGCAATATTATTCAAAATGGGTGACCCTGGCGGACATTATGCTGAGTGAAATATCTCAGTCACAAAAGGATAAATACTGCATGATGCCACTCTTGTAGAAAGTGACTGACATCATGGTTGGGGTAAGACTGAGAAAAACTGGATAGATTATGTATACTGAATTGAAGCAGATGAGGGAGAGTGCACCTTAAAAGTGATATATGATAGCATATT